TATCTATCTCAAGACCGGCTTCCTCAGCGCCGAGAGTCTTGAGCTGGCGATCGGGCTCACAATCCCTTCCTGGATGGTCACCGTCGCCTTTACATGACGATTGGCCCATCATGGCCTCTTCATCATTTATTGGAACGGCTCATCATCGTCGTCATCCTCACATCGTGGCAGACCCCTCAGTCTCAACGCGATCTTGAGCTAGCGATTGGGCTCACCATCCCTTCCTGGATGGTGACCATCGCCCCTATATGACGGCCGACTCATCATTGCCCCGTCATCATATTTCGGATTGGTTTTTTTTTCATCGCCATCCGGGCATCACGACCGCCCCCCCGGCCTCGGCGTGACTATCTATCTCAAGACCGGCTTCCTCAGCGCCGAGAGTCTTGAGCTAGCGATCGGGCTCGCCATCCCTTCCTGGATGGTGACCATCGCCCTTATATGACGATCGACTTCATTCTTGCCTCGTCATCATATTATCGGATCGGCTCATCATCTCCGTCCGCACATCACGATCGGCCCCTCGGCCTCAGCGTGATTATCTATCCCCAAGACCGGTCTCAGTCATTCCTTCATCGGATGGCGACAGCTGCTTGGACTTTTGGATCAGCCTCATAGTGCTGACGACCTCGCATCACGATCAGTCCCTCGGCCACGACGTCACACCCTATCCCAACACCGGCTTCATCAGCGCCGAGTGTGTTGGGCTAGCGATCAGGCTCGCCATCTCCTCCTGGATGGTGACTATCGCCTCTATATGACGATCGGCTCCATCATCGCCTCGTCATCATATTTCGGACTGGCTCCTCATCATTGTCATCCGCACATCGTAATCAGCCTCTCGGCCGCGACGTGATTATTTATCTCAAGACCGGCTCCCAGCGCCGAAGTCTTGTTATAGCGATTGGGCTCGCCATCCCTTCCTGGACGGTGACCGTCGCCCCTACATGACGCACGGCTTATCATCGCCTCGTCCTCACATTTAGACCGGCACCAGCGTTGAAGTCCTTATCTAGCGACCACGCTCGCCAATCCCTTCCTGGATGGTGACCGTCGCCTTCATATGACACGCGGCTTATCATTGCCTCATCCTCATATTCGGACCGACTCATCAGCGTCGTCGCCCTCATATTCAGACAGGCGTCCACCGCCTCGTCCCCCTATTCAGATATAGCGAACATCTTGCGGTCTCCGGCTGAAAGGCTAAAGGAGCCCATAGTTCAGCCATATATCGCCCCGTCGTCTTTATTTGACGACGTGGAGCTCTTATGCAGGCCCCTCGGCCGCACCATCACCCCGTCGTCTTTATTTGACGACGTGGAGCTCTTATGCAGGCCCCTCGGCCGCACCATCACCCCGTTATCTTTATTTGACGACGTGGAGCTCTTATGCAGGCCCCTCGGCCGCGCCATCGCCCCGTCGTCTTTATTTGACGACGGGGAGCTCTTATGCAGGCCCCTCGGCCGCACCATCGCCCCGTCGTCTTTATTTGACGACGTGGAGCTCTTATGCAGGCCCTTCGGCCGTACCATCGCCCCGTCGTCTTTATTTGACGACGTGGAGCTCTTATGCAGGTCCCTCGGCCGCACCATCACCCCGTCGTCTTTATTTGACGACGTGGAGCTCTTATGCAGGCCCCTCTGCCGCACCATCGCCCGTCGTCTTTATTTGACGATGGCGAGCTCTTATGCAGGCCCCTCGGCCGCACCATCGCCCCGTCGTCTTTATTTGACGACGTGGAGCTCTTATGCAGGCCCCTCGGCCGCACCATCACCCCGTCGTCTTTATTTGACGACGTGGAACTCTTATGCAGGCCCCTCGGCCGCACCATCGCCCCGTCGTCTTTATTTGACGACGGGGAGCTCTTATGCAGGCCCCTCGGCAGCACCATCGCCCCGTCGTCTTTATTTGACGACGTGGAGCTCTTATGCAGGCCCCTCGGCCGTACCATCGCCCCGTCGTCTTTATTTGACGACGTGGAGCTGTTATGCAGGCCCCTCGGCCGCACCATCACCCCGTCGTCTTTATTTGACGACGTGGAGCTCTTATGCAGGCCCCTCGGCCGCACCATCACCCCGTCGTCTTTATTTGACGACATGGAGCTCTTATGCAGGCCCCTCGGCCGCACCATCGCCCCGTCGTCTTTATTTGACGACGTGGAGCTCTTATGCAGGCCCCTCGGCCGCACCATCGCCCTGTCGTCTTTATTTGACGACGTGGAGCTCTTATGCAGCCCCCTCGGCCATACATCGCCTCGTCGTCCTTATTCGACAACATGGAGCTCTCGTACAGGCCTCTCGGCCCATCGGCCTTACGTTCTGGTCATCTTTATTTGATGAACCAGACATCATATTGTGGACGGTCGCTCGACCCATCCCTTAGTCATCTTTATTTGATGACTAGGACTACTGATCATGATGAGCTACCCACATCTAGAGATCGACCTCGACCATCCCCCCAGCAGACGGGCACCGTTGCAGCTCCATCTCCAGGCCGAAGGGTTCGCACCTTTTGTTTCATTTTGGGGACATCCGGTGTACTCTTTTTCCCTCATTAGGATTTTTTCCCACAGGATTTTTCCTAATGAGGTTTTTAACGAGGCATCCCCCCATCGTGGATCAAAAGGTGTCAACCCTCGGCCCCCTGTTGAAGACATCATCCGACACGCATTACTCTACTCCTCTTCACCTCATTACACTCGCCTCAAGGAGTGGGGGACTGGAAGAGCGGGGGACTTAGCGCCTCCGTTAACCAAAGAAGCAGAAATTCAAATTTTTGTTCACGAAGTTTACTCACCAGACGACGACAGATCAGCACACAGTTCTACTCTCTTTCACCTCGAATACTCTCGACTCAGAGAGTGGGGGACTCCTGATAGCGGCCCACATACGCTCGGTAGATAGCATTTATTTCATTGTACACTCTATTTTATTCATGTATACCCGTTAGAATAGATTAAATACCATTTGTAGCCATTTATTGGCCTTTTATTGTAAATAGGCCCAAGCCTGGAAGCCCAGCCCGCTTTTCCCCTATAAATACTCCCTAAGGGAGCCATGTAAAGGGTTGGAAATTCATTATATATATCACTTTATCTCTCTAGCTCTCCTTTCTCTCTAGATAATTAATCTATCAATATATAAAAGAGGAACTTTTTAAGAGCATACAAAGCGCCACATAATCTTGCCATGTCGTTATATATAACAATTATTTACTTATTTTTATACCTTTTATTTTTATTAGATTCTATTTTTGATTGCATATTGATATGGAAACAAAAATCCTTATAAATCCACCTTAATTAATTTGCTAAGCTTCAAATAAGTAAAATAATTTTTGGTTATCAAAGTGAAATTCTAATAACGTTTATTGATATGGAAACTAATTTATATTAGTTTACTACACCTAATTAAATAGAAACAAATATGCAAATTAGTTTACTCATTAATTTGACATCTATTAATAAATTAGTAAGCTTCAAATAAGTAAATAATTAAAAATGAAATTAAAAATTATAACCAACATAAAGTATATATATTTTCACAAGTAAATATGTTTAGCTTAGCCAAATAAGTAAAAATTTTTGGTTGTTTCTTTATTTTACACCTAAAATTCAAATATGCCTCCACTTTTGATATAGATTCCTAATCCAAATTAGAAAATCTTTACATGTTTACGAATTCCTACTTTTATTTTAATAGAACGTTTTTAATTGGATTGATTTCAGTTCCAGATTAAATCAGATCAGATCAAACTTTAATAATTATAACAATAAGTCACATAAAAAATGGACATCTAATAGACCATATTAATTCATACCAAATCAAACCTGAAATTTTAATTCAATAAAAAATGTTCTTATTAATGAGTAAACTGTAAGATCTAACAATTAAGAAATATATATTTTTTTTATTATTAGGTTCATAACAATTATGTTTACTTGAGATGCTTATGTAGAAGACCAGTTTAACTTTTTTTTTCATATATTTTTTTCTTTGTTTCACAAATGGAATATATTTCACATATATTTTTCATGATTCAGAAAATTCCACCTATTTAACCAGAATTCAATCAATTTCAGCAAAATAAGTTAATTTTATTTACTTTAGTATTATCAAACAGACTCTATATTAGACTAAGTTTACATACTGTGATTTTCTTTTAAATCACATTATATGTGATCCGATAAAAATTAAATTTCAAATTAGCTAAATTACATACCAAAGTTGTAGAATAAATTTTTAGCATACTTGAGATGCTTATGTGATTTTCTTTTAAATCACATTATATGTGATCTGATAAAAATTAAATTTCAAATTAGTTAAATTACATACGGTTCGTGCATCGCACAGGCTGGTAGAAACAGGGGCGGACCCAGAAAAATCATCTTGGGGGGCGAAAATATTTTTTGAGGGGTTCAAAATATTTTTTCGGAGGGAGAAAATTATTTTTTATATATATATACACACAAAAAAATTCTTGTTGGAAGCGTTAAGCCTCTGGGTCTGTACTACGGTCCGCCTCCGGGTAGAAACAATGACAAACGCAATAATCCAATTAGGTGGGTCTCTCGATAGATGATGAGAAATTTAGCTACCTTAAAAGAGCCACAGCACTCGCAATTTGTGATCGTTTATTGACAATCAAAGTCTGAAGGGACTCTGATTCTAATCGCTCTTTTCTTTCTAATTAATACGGAGTAATTTATTATTATTATGGTGTCCATTATGCGTTGCACGTTGGTTTCACGAGATAGATGACATATCACGGAGTATTATTTTTGGTAGATTCTACGGTACCCATAAGGTACCATACCTTTGTCCACATGGACCAATGAATGTGTTGCAGTTGAATTATTTAATTCTAAATTAAAAATAATATATCTATTTGGACCAATCAAATGAATGGTAGGTACGGTACCCCATTTTTTTAAATGGGTACCGGAGTTGTCACCATTATTTTTCTACTGAGTATAGTTGTATCAGTTAAAAATGGATTGAGAGGGATATTTGCTCGTTTTCTCCCAAAATGATAGAATTTCTTCGTATAACGAAAGAGCCAGCCGCCCGGTTAGATTCTGTAAGATTATGAAAAAGAGTTGCTCGTATCATTCTTGGGAAGACAGCTGCAATAGTGCAATGGAAGGGGGAGAAGTAAAAGATGACTGCCCTGAGTAAAAAAGATACAATAGCATTTGGGAGAATGCTTTCTTACAGTATTACAGTAATGGTGTTTTCCTGCTTTTCTTTTTTCTCATATTGATTACAAGAATTTCCTCACATTTGACCACTCCACTCCATCGTTGGAGGGCAGAAAAATCTACTGCGATATTTATATCTCCGACAGAGGTGGCATTTTTTCGGTTTCAGCCGAAACGCCATCTAAGAGTCTCATTTCAGTCAAAGTCTGTCAGCTGTTACGGGAGATTTCAACCACGTGGGGAAGTTAGCGGCGGTTGCTCTCCAGATCTGTGACGATTCAGTTAGGCGTTTAAAGGTGGATGCTGCTCTGCCCAATTACTGGAGTAATTAGGGTTTCACTTTCTATTTTTATCAATTACAAGGTGGTGTGAGGGCCGGACGGCGCCAAGCTCCTCTTCGCAGACGCCGCTGACTGTGGAGGTATTGGTAATGACCGGAGGCTCTGAGAGTGGAAAGTGGACCTTACTAGCCCCTTTTCGAACCAAAGATTGCATCTTTAAACAGAGGTGCGCTATTTCGGGATTAGGAATGGAATGGGAAACCTCAAGTTCACTCATTTACAGTTCTCTTATGCGGTATCTTTCTTGCATTCTTAAAGTGTTAAACCTAGCTAACTATACTCAGTAGTCTTTTAGCCCATTCATGATAGCCTTACAATTTATACTCCTGTTTCACGCAGTCGAGTTCTACGATTTTTCGGAGTAAGAAACTTCATTAACTGATACCTATTTGTTGAGTAATTTAGGTGATACTTGATAGTTGAGATGGAAAACAAGGATAAATGTTGAAATTAGTATTAATTATTAAATGCCCTTTTGATTTCATAAAGCAATAGACACTGAAAAAGTTCATCTGAAATAGTGAGGAGGGAGCATTTTCTGAACCACAGATTGTTAATTATGAACAAGTATCGCCTAAGAAGTCATGTTATTCTCTGCTTACGAGATCCTGTGCTTATGCTTTTTGGTTGTCATCAATGGGTTGTAGGAAAATCCAGACTTGGATGTAAAACAGCCCAAACATGCAAGTTAAAGCTCCTAATGCAGATGTGCTCAGGGTTAGTGTTTCTAGTGCCCCTAGCACTTCAAGCCACGGTTCAGCTCCTGATGATTATTATGATGCTTCAGGTGATGTGTATATATGGGGTGAGGTAATATGTGATAACACCATCAAAGTTGGTCCTGAAAAGAATTCTATCACTCTGAACACCAACCGAACTGACGTTCTTCTACCAAGGCCTTTAGAGTCTCACATTGTGTTGGATGTAAGTCGCATAGCCTGTGGGGTCAGGCATGCTGCCCTTGTGACTAGACACGGCGAAGTTTTCACATGGGGTGAAGAATCTGGTGGGCGGCTTGGCCATGGTGTCGGTAAAGATGCTACTCATCCCCACCTTGTTGAATCTTTATCTTTCCACGGCATTGAATTTGTTGCTTGTGGTGAATTCCACACATGTGCTGTTACGATGGATGGTGAACTCTACACATGGGGAGATGGAACACACAATGCCGGACTTTTAGGTCATGGATCAAATGTTAGTCACTGGATACCAAAGAGGATCTCAGGTCCTCTTGAGGGGGTTCGAGTTTCAACGATAGCTTGTGGGCCATGGCATTCAGCCTTGATCACGTCAACAGGGCGCCTCTTCACGTTTGGTGATGGAACATTTGGTGTTTTAGGACATGGAGATAGAGAGACCGTTCTGTTTCCAAGAGAGGTTTCTTCTCTCTCTGGATTAAGAACAGTTTCTGTTGCATGTGGTGTTTGGCACACTGCTGCTGTTGTGGAGGTCATTGTTACTCAATCTAGTGCAAGTTTATCATCTGGAAAATTGTTTACTTGGGGTGATGGAGATAAAAACCGGCTGGGGCATGGTGACAAAGAGCCCCGTTTGGAACCTACTTGTGTGCCCGCCCTTATCGATCATAATTTCCACAAAATTGCTTGTGGACATTGCTTGACTGTCAGCTTGACCACTTCCGGCCGTGTTTTCACCATGGGAAGCACCGTGTATGGTCAACTTGGAAATCCTAATTCGGATGGAAAGTTGCCATGCTTAGTTGGGGACAAACTTGCTGATGAGGAAAGTGTTGTTGAAGATATTGCATGCGGTTCATATCACGTCGCAGTTTTAACATCCAGAAACGAGGTTTACACTTGGGGTAAAGGAGCCAATGGAAGGTTAGGCCATGGAGACGTAGAAGATCGAAAATCACCCACTTTAGTTGAGGTTTTGAAGGATAGGGTTGTAAAGTATGTTGCTTGTGGTTCAAGTTACACCGCAGCTATATGTCTTCACAAGTGGATCTCTGTGGCTGAGCAATCTCAATGCTCTTCTTGTAGGCAGGCTTTTGGGTTCACAAGAAAGAGACATAATTGCTACAATTGCGGGCTTTTGTATTGCCATGCCTGCAGTTCAAGAAAGGCACTAAGGGCTGGTTTGGCCCCTAATCCGAGAAAACCGTACCGTGTCTGTGATTCCTGTTTTGCCAAATTGAGTATGGTGGTCAGTACTGGGAGAGGTGAGGGACCACGCCTCTCGGGCGGTGAGAACAAGGACAGATTGGATAAGGATGAGTTACGGTTAGCCAAATCAGTGGTGCCTTCAAATCTCGAGCTGATAAAGCAATTGGATTACAAAGCAGCCAAACAAGGAAAGAAAACTGACAGATTCTCATTAGGTCCCACTTTTCCAAAACCAGCTTTGACAGCATTGACTGGTGTTTCTAGAAGCGTGTCGCCATTCTCGCGGAAATCCAGTCCCCCACGTTCAGCAACACCTTTACCCTCAACCTCTGGGCTGTTGTTCTCCAAAAGCATGGTGGACAGTTTGAAGAGGAACAATGAAGCGCTAAATCAAGAAATTCACAAGTTGCATGCTCAGGTATATAAGCACACTTTATCTTATCTCTTTTATTCTCCGTTTCCAGCTTTAGCTTCATTATATATCCCATTTCATGTGGTGATTTTGAAGGTGGAGACTCTCCGGAAACAATGTGAACTCCAAGAATTGAATCTTCAAAAATCAACTAAAGAAGCTCAGGAAGCATTGCTTCTGGCTGCAGAGGAATCTGCTAAGTCTAAAGCTGCAAAAGAAGTGATTATATCACTTACTGCACAGGTTAGCCTCTCCTACCCCATAAATTTTCTTTTATATCTTGTTTATGTATCATTTGGGTGTGTATCAGTGTATGTGTGTATACATTGTGCTTTTACTTAAGAAAATTATATTGAAAACTGGTAAAGTTTGGAGTTTCATATTTTTACTCATAAAATACCCCGGAAAAGAAAATAGGGAGGAAAGTGGGATGGAAAACTTTGGGGAAAATAGGGAGGAAAATAGATATAGGCCCGAACGGTAAGGATATGTTTTCATATTTGTTCAAACTCATTTTTCTTATTTATTTCTGTTACACTACGAAATTCAAACATATGCAATTTTTAAAAAAAGTTTAATCATTTACTCCCTCCATCCCTTAAAACTTTGCCATCTTTCATTTTTTTGGTTGTCCCAAATTTTTTACGACATTCACTTTTAATCAATCAATTTGTCGTTCCTATCATTTCTCTCCCCTTACACAAATTTCAACCTCACTGTTTTTACTTTATTATTCCCCGTACCGGTCAAACTTAGCAACATTTTGAGGGACGGAGGGAGTATCATATTCGATGCATTTCCATGGCAAAACCCTCTATGAAGAAAATACGGTTGATAGTTTTTTATCCTTAACTTATAACTCTCAGTGATCCTAACATACTCTAAAACTGTGAGATATTGGTTCATTAAGCTTTCTTTTTCTAACATTACAGTTCTTTTTCTTCTTCATCATTACCCCAGTGCCGCAAAGGCTCTCACCTATGGTGGGGTAAGGGGGATCAGATGTACGCAGCTTTACCCCTGTACTAAAGTACATAGAGACTGTTTCCGGATGACCCATTGTGAAATTCGTGTCGAAAATTGCATAGACTGACTGCTGCTTCATAACAAAGAAGCGCATAGAGTTTAGTGAGCCATTTTGCTTTATTCCATAATTTCCCCCAGCCAAAAAATAGCGAGTCTTATTACAGTTCATTCATCATCATTACCCCAGTGCCGCAAAGGCTCCCACCTCCGGTGGGGTAAGGGGGGTCAGATGTACGCAATCTTACCTCTGTACTAAAGCACAGAGAGACCGTTTCCGAATGACCCGTAGTGAAAATTGCGTCGAAAATTGCATAGGCTGACTGTTACTTCATAACAAAGAAGCGCAGACAGTTTAGTAAGCCATTTTGCTTTATTCCATCATATTCCCAAGCCAAAAAATAGTGAGTCTTATTACAGTTCTATAGCAAAATTTCTATCTATGGGTAACAACTTTTGGCACACTTTTGTGCTTTTTTTCATTCTGCTGAAGGGGTTATTATTTCAATTTTGCTTCACCAGCTCAAAGACATGGCTGAGAGATTGCCACCTGGGACTTACACCACCGAGACTTTCAAGCTCGCTTACCCACCTAATGGATTGGAGTCAAATGGTCTTCTCCACTTCAATGATACAAATGTGGATCCAAATGGAGTTGTGACCTCCAACAGGCCAGATGATCAGTCCATCCCCGAATTCCCCAAAGGAAGTGGGGTGCCCACATTTAGAAACTTTGTCTCTGAACCTGATGCTGGTAACAAGGACACCTCTCCATTACAGGAGGATACCAAAAATGGTACAAGATCTAGAGGAGGTTCCATTCCTCTTGCCAACGATGACCAAATTGAGGCTGAGTGGATTGAACAATATGAGCCTGGTGTTTATATAACGCTAGTGGCTCTTCGAGATGGCTCCAGAGATCTTAAACGAGTGCGCTTCAGGTAGTCACTTATTTGAGTCATTATTGTACTTCGATTTTACCTCACAAAAATATTTCATGAAGAAGTAAAAAAGCTGTAAGCAGGACTGCAGGTTGGGGCCTAGCCCTAGAGGTGGCCATGAGTCAGGTGCAAGTGTATAACCTTATGTTTTTAACACTCAGCAGAGTATATATAATTAGGTTGACTTTAGATAAAACCGAGTTCAACATGGCCCGGGTTTAGGGCTTATATTACAAATTACTATAACATCTTGGACTTGACCTGAAACATGGAAGAATTACTAATACATTATACGAAGTATAAAGGATTGGATATGATTTTACTCCCAGCAAATATAACAACTTTTGTTTTGGACCTTGCATTTTTTCTTGTTTTCATCCATTCAAATATATGCCTTTTTTAGTCCCTATGTAACTCTTAGGCAATCTCCATTTAGAATTAAAAAATTAATGTGTCCTACATAGCGCCACTAAAAAATTTTAACTTGACTTTTTATTGTTTTGGAGACTACCTGTGCAGTGAAGGCTAATCAAAACTAATCATTCATGTTAGTCATGTCTGTTTTATTGTCAAACAAAAGTTCCTAAAGAGTCAGCGAGGAATTAAAATGAAAAGTATAAAATATACAGATGAAAAAAATTGTAGTGGCTCTAAACAAAAGACACTATATTTACCAGGACTAAAACATACCTCAGCCTTATATAAATTATATATATATATATATATATATATATATATATATATATATAATTTATACAGTATATGATTATGGATTCAGATGAATATCTTTATCATTTTTGTTACATTCACTCAAATCAAATTTTATTGCAGCTTATGCTAGAATTGTCTAATATAGATATTTTGTGAAACTCAAACCCCACCAGAATAACCCAAAGTGGACCTGAGATAATTAGGTTGTATTTTTGGTTACTAAACACCAGCTTGTATTTCCAATCTATTTGGTCATGAGATTTACAATCTAACTTAAAAGAATGTTTACTTAGGATCTAATGATTATATAATTTGCATTTCAGTCGAAGAAGATTTGGAGAGCACCAAGCAGAGAGTTGGTGGTCAGAGAACCGTGACAATGTTTATGATAAATATAATATCAGAGGATCAGCCATGCCCACCGTCTCTGGCAAAGCTAGTTGCAGGTCAGAAGGGCATATTTCTCCTTCATCCCAAAGATAGGAATGTTTAATGGAGATTTTTCCCATCTGAATGCTTGCTTGGGTTTTGTTCATCTTTGTATGCTATGTATGTTCCAATGGCACAGCCAAAAGCTCCTTTCTCACCTTTTCCCTTTCCCCAATTTGTTCTTTCAGGTATTTATTTTTAGAGCGTTTAGCATTTTTCTTGCCCGTTGCATTTCACTGTATATATGTTACTGGTTGTACTTTGGTTTTATCCATGAAACCAAAGCAGGTTCAGTGGCTAATTGGCTATTTGCCTATGATTGGGACAGCTGGTGGGAACTTTATAAGTTAATGTGCATTTTTTAACTACTACTACCGTACTACGTACAATTTTTAGGCTACGTGCTTGGTATGGCTTAATTAACTAGTAAATGTAATGAACGGTGGTGGAGCCAAAAATATGATCTACAGATTCTACACTAATTTTTTTTTACCCGGAAGCCACTCAAAGGCTCAAATGTAGGTGGCCGAACGGCGGTTCCGTTAGGGTGCGTTTGGGAGTTGGGTTTTGGAGGGGAGGGGGAGCCGGGGAGGTTGATGGGGTTTATAACCTTCCTTTTCATGTTTGGGAGTTTATAAAATTGGAGGGGATGGTTTTAGAGAGCTTTTATGATCCTCCAAAACCCTCTAAATGCTTAATTTTTAAGTTCTCCCAATTTGGAGGGGTTCGAACGATAATTAATGAAATGGTAATTTATGCTCAATTAAAAATAAATATCAGTTCAATTTTTTAAATTCGTCATATCTCAAAGTAATTTTAATTACAATTCATTCAAAAACTCTCTCCTCTAGGCTTGGACTCGGGTCGGGCCACCCGGTCCGTGGGCCGACCCGGCCCGCTACTGTGTGGGACTGGGACCGGCCCGGTTCTCGGGTCCGGGTCCGGGTCGGGCCTAGGCCCGGGGGGGTAGGGCGGGTCCGGGTTCGGGTCTCAATTTTGGTGAATCGGCCCCGGGTCAAATTGATTTTTTTTTCATTTTTGGGGTTCCACCCGGGTTGGGCTTGATGGGTAGGATGGGTTTGGGGGGGTTTGGGAGGGTGGGGGGGTGGGGGGGGGTTAGGAAAGCAAAAAAAAAAAATCCAAACCGGAGGCCCGGCCTGGCCCGGACCTGGACCGGACCCGGTGGCTACCCGAGCCGGTCCCGGGTCCACCATTCTTGAACCGCCGGCCCGCCCGGGCCTAGGCCCGACTCGGACCCGGCCCGGACCCGAGTCCACCCCTACTCTCCTCCCTTTCCCCTCCAACAACATACCTCCAAAGTCTTCCCCTCCCCTTCCCTCCGAACTCCCAAACATACCCTTAGATAGTTCTTAGTCTCTTACACACACACAATGAAATGAGAATCATGGTATTGCGTTGAACTCAATGTGACACCGCACCACTTGTAACTTACTCTTTTTTATGTTGATGAAATAGTTACGAAATTGCCATCGTATTTATTTGATGTTGTCATGTTTTCAAGAAGTGTAAGATACAAACGTTATAATGAATCACATTGAGTTAAAAGTGGTGTTCTCATGTTAACAGGCATGAATTTGGGCTGAGTCGGGCCCAGGTCGGGCCGCCGGTTTGTGAATGGTGGGTCCGGTTTGTTGAGTAGTGGGTGTTGTTTTAGTTTTTTTAATAAGATTGGCAAATGTAGATTTCAAAATTGATTTTCCTTTAGATGAAGAGGTTTGTGTCGGGGGAGGGGGCGTGTTGCCATATTGTGCATGAAACTCATTAAATAATGCATAAAATATATCACTAACCTCATTATATTCTTTTTTCGGATCAATTGAGTTCTCGTCACACATTGGCATTGGACAAAAAAGCAGCATCATAATAATTCAAACACTCTTCTAAAGAACCAAATCTAAAATGAGGATCGAGAACAAATGCAATACCATAAATATGCGGAATATGTTAATAATATTTTAAAAAAATTTCCTTCATAAAACCAGCAAAATAACTCACATAATTGGCATTCTCAAAATGTGAAAAAGCACTGGCGAGATTAAAAGCTTCATGAATAAATTGGTTTGAGGTATGTTTATAAACATGACTAAAAGTTTCAGTTGCATTATTAAAATATACCAAAGCATTACAAATTTTTTCGTAGGTGTCGATCTCAGTCGAGTTTATAATATAGTTATCATATTATTTCATAAAAGCGGGAAAATGTTGTTTATATCTAAGAAGAACTGCAATCAACTTATAAGTACTATTCCAACGAATAGACAAATCTTTAGGAAAAGCCACATATTTCTCACATTTTTCTATCAAATAATCATGCCATTTTTTTCTAAGTTGACCATTACCCCAAATACGTCTAATCCTCCCTTGACTACCTCCAAAGATGCTCTTAACGCTTTTAGACCATCTTGCACACATAAATTTATAACATGACATGCACATCGTTGATGAAAAATCTACTCATCAAAGAAGTAGAACCACACAATTCACCAAATTTAGGAATAACAACAGTATTATTAGTAGCATTATCAAAACCAATAGCAAACACCTTATCAATTAAATTATACTCAATTAAAATACGCTCAATCAAAATATAAATATGTTCAGTCCGAACATTTTTTTTTATTTTTGACCGTTGGACTCGGACCCAGACCTGACCCGGTCGGTCCGGGTCACCTTTTGCCTGAACCGAGCCCGCCCCGCCCTTCCCCCCCGGGTCGGGTCTACACCCGGTCCCGGACCGCCAGACCGGGCTGGTCTCGGGCCCGCACAGTAGCGGGTCGGGCCGGGTCACGGGCCGGGTGGCCCGAATCCAAGCCTACATGTTAAGTATGGTTCTCATTAAAAGCACACCCTATATATAATATATAACCGCATTGTTTATACATGTAAAAAAAAACAGTTTTTCCAATAATTTATTTAGTTGATTTTCCTATTGAATATTAAGTTGAAATTTTGTGGACATAATCTACAATTAATAAAAACGTTCTCACAAAATTTCATTAAAAATTCCACCGGAAACCACCTCAAATAGTGAATTTAGCATGGTGGTTCCGGTCAGAAGCTCCCGATATGAGTTGGACCATTAAACTCATTTAAATGCTAAAAATTAAAGAGGTTTAAGATTGTGCATTTTAAGCCTAGCTTATTTGATCATTCTCCATAAAAGGTAGACCGACTCACAAATTTAGACCTCTCCATTTTAGGTCAAGCATGAATCTAATTATCTCAATTTGTTTACTTGTTCATATGAAGAATTGGTTTGAACCGTTAGATCATGTTAAAAATTAAATGCAAATTACCTGTATAATCTACTATTGTAGACTGCATATCTTTTATGTCCCAACTTTTTTCTCTTTTCATTTTTAACTTCTAGGTTTTCAATTTTAGTTTTTTATTTCAGGTTTAGACATATTCTGCCAAATTCTTCCGTCTCCCTTCTCATCTTCTCGCATACGACAGAAACCCCCTACCTCCCCTGAGCTCTGTATCTGGGTTCATGAGAGTCCTCATCCACAGTTAACATCCAAATTGTTCTCCCTGGAGCAGACGACGTAGCTTACGGAGAAAGCGGGTCACATCTCAGCTTCGACAGGTTGTAATCGAAGCTTTGAGTTCACAAGAAGCGATACACTTTCACAGATCGATCAATTCCGTCATCGCAACGATCATTCAGGAAAAAAATCAGAGTAGTGATAGGAAAAATTCATGGCTTCAATCGCACACTCTAGGTGACTTTGGAACTAATGGGAGCCGGAGGTAGTTTGTCGGTGATCTTAGTGACTGAAATCCACATGCGTTGTCTTCTTCAACCGGCACCAGAAGTAGTGCGATGGCGGGAGGTGTGTGCGCAAAGGATTGCCCTGAGTCCTCTTCATTCTTCTTCATTTAATTTCAGATAAGTGATTAAATTTATATATATTTTTTGTTCTTAGTTTAAGAAAAAATAAAAAATTCATCACCAAAGTAGAGAGGGAGCATAACTTTATTCGGGAGGGAATGCAAGTCAATCTTCCACTCTTCACCATTTATTATTTATATGGCATATAACTTTATTAGACCATTATCATTTAATTCTCTCATGCTTATGTCATTTGCATTTGCTTTTGTACAATACATTTTAGGAGTAATAGAGTGATATCATGGAAAAAGTGCAGGCTACTTTTTAGGAGCAATAGAGTGAATTCATGGCGGAAGTGCGGACTAACTCATCTCACTGTAAATTCCTATAGCTTTATCTAGACTTTAATTCTTCATACATAATTACATATACTCAGTACAATTTTGCAATTTTAACACCAATACTGGATAGTAGATAAGTGAACAATGCAATGTGCGTGGCCGAATTGAGTTTTGATTTTATTTTTAATGTTGGATGACTATTTGATTATTATGTTTTCATTTTGTTGATGAAATCTGAGTCTGCAAAACATCAATGCGTGAGCTTTTGCGGTTAGTGGAGAAAGCCATGAAGGTTGGAAAATGAGGGTTTTTTTATTGGTTAGTTGCAATGTGCTACTCCAGAAATTCCATATCCCACTAAGACTGTTGTGTGAGCATGTTGATTTCTAATTATTTTATATATATAACGATTCTTTGTTTATTTCAATATAAAATTTGCATTAAGAATATGTCTATCTTTCTGGAAACCAGAGAGTTGTTCTCTTCCTCTCAGAAATGACTATTGAGCTTCTTTAGAAATTGCAATGACTCCTAATCTTTTATTATTTTAATTTTAATATGTGAAGCGGTTACTCTGCTCGACTATGGTGCCGGAAATGTGCGAAGTTTAAGGAATGCAATTCAATTCCTTGGTTTTGATATTAAAGATGTAAGTTTTCCTTCAAGTTCATTTTTTTGTTTTGCTTTGCTCAACACGTCTTACCCATCTGAAGAGAAAAAACAGAAAAACTTGTACCGATCTATTCTATTTCAAACGAGTAAGGACAAGCCCTACATTTTGCAAGTGAAAGGATGATTTATGATTCATTTTGAAAGTTATATGACTGTAGGAAGATTCAAGTGATTTGTTCACTTCTTTTGTAATAGTCAGTGTTCTGCATGAATGCATTCTTTTAGGTACAAACACATGAGGACATTATTAATGCAAAATGCCTAATTTTCCATGGAGTAGGTGCCTTTGCTGCTGCTATGGATGTGCTAAGCAAGAATGGGTAAGTCTGTTGTAGGTTGCATGCCAAACCCCAATGACAAGTTGGCAGATATCTTGGGATGTACATAGATGTAGTGATTTGGCAGATATCCCAATGATATATCATGGTCTCTTGCCCTGTAATTTTTTGGTCCATGATATTTATAAAATTTGTGTCCTGCAGAATGGCTGAAGCACTCTCCAGATATGTTGAACCAGATCGGCCATTTCTAGGGATTT